TGTCATTGCAGCCAACTTTTTCATGACCAGTGCCTCTGAACAATTTTTTCAAATGCATCAAATAATTAAAATTGTACCTCCTTCTCTACTGTAGTTTTTGCTGTGATTCTTTCACAAGACCCTTACTAACCCTAAGTAGAAACTGAAGCTGCTGGTAGTGGCTTTGACCCTTGACCCAAAGGGTCTTATACTCTTTGTGTGCTGTTAAGTCAATTCTGACTTATAGTGACTCTTTTCAGGGTTTTCTGAATAGAGAGTACTCACAGAATCATAGAATCATCGTAGGGTTGGAAGGGACCTTGGAGGTCTTCTAGTCCAACCCCCTGCCCAAGGCAGGAGACCTTATACCATCCCAGACCCCATACCATCCCGGACAGATAACTGTCCAGTCTTTTCTTGAAAACCTCCAGCAATGGGGCACCCACAACATTGGGAGGCAACTGGTTCATCGTTCCCTTCTGGGGGGGGCATTCTGGGACTGTGCAACTTGCCCAAGGCCACACAGACTGGCTCTCCTCGGATGCACAGTGGGGAACTGAATTCCTAACCTTTGAGTCTGCAGCCAGATGCCTAACTCACTGAGCTATCCAGCCAACTTATAGTCTTATAAGGAGTTATTTGTTTAGCAAGTACCCAGAAGGAAATTTTCCAGAGACAGACATTGAATTTATTCAGTTATAGTCTTATAAGGAGTCATTTGTTTAGCAAGTACCCAGAAGGAAATCTTCCAGAGACAGACATTGAATTTATTCAGTGTTTCCAAACAGGCCAATGGAAGCGTGTGACACACAAATACACAAAGTATGACAAATTAATGAAATTCTGCACCTTCTATTTTTTATCTATTAATGGACAACTTCATTACTTAATACTGAAATCCAAGCTGAAAGTTGAAGAACACTAATAAATAATAGTGGACTGGAGGATTCTAATAAAGTCTCAAGCATGACGTTATGCTGCACAAGAGGAAGAGGTAGTTGAAAACGTACATGTCCTAATGTCCCACCCAAAGGAGTCGACTGTAAAAAGAAGGACCAGAAAGGGTGAACATTTACTTTCTAGGCCATGATAGGCTTTAGCTATAGTCCCAAAAATGCTGCTTGTGAAGGATCTAGTATGTATATCACACCAATCATCTATTTATTTTTATTACTCCTCTTTAAATTAAAAAAGGAGCCTACAACTGTAAAGAAAAGAACCGTAATGCCAGAAACCAGCAGGAGATAACATCTTAATCTCTCTTCATATTAAGCTTTAAAAGTAACTATTCTCTTGTTACCCATCCTCTCCACACAAGACTCATGTTGCATTTCTGAGTTGATTGCTGGCTCAAAATGCTTGTTGTTTAATAGCTCGAATCTGTGGTAGATTTTTTTATGGACTTTTCAGTCCACTCAGGCAGTAAAACGTGCAGTATCAAAGGAGGCAAAAAAAAGCAAATTGTTGCTACCAATGTATATATTTGAGCAACCCAGGAAAGAAACAAAAGACAGAACTCCACCCAACAATGGTCTGTTACAACATCTTCACTGGTGACCAAAGGGTCTGGGGATTGGGGGTACAACTCTTCCCCCTCCCTCCCTCCCTGGTGGCTGATGTTAAGAGTTCTTCCAGATTCTCCTCTGTTTCCTGTTCAGTCAATAAATCTGTGCAAAGAAAAACATGTGTTCTTACAATAGCCCTTGTTGCCAGCAGGCACTCAACCAGCTTGGCACATGCTGCACAGACCACCAACTGCAGCAGCACTTCATTACAAGCAATATGCACGGTGCCAGATGGGAACAGAAGAACGGGGAGGTTGCCAGGTCAGCCTGGAACGATGGCTTTGGGCCAGGTTCACCACTGATGGGGTGCAAAACTGCCATCCAGCATCCTTCGTTCTTTGTTTCATGAAGTCAGGAGAGAGAGAAGACTTCACCATACCACACTGAACACACCCAATCTCTTTTGATTTCTGAAGCAAAACACTGTTGAGCCTGCTTAATACCTGGATGCAAGACCACCAGGGGATACCACGGATTTGTAGATACACAGAATAGGAAGAATCCCACCGAAATCCTGGAGAGCTGCTGGTGGTCACAATTGACCATACTGGGCTATGGAAACCAAAGATCTGATATAGTATAAGACACTGTCTTGTGTCTGAGTACTTAAAGAGCTAGAGATACTGGCCAATTTATACTCAATCTTCAGAGCTTTCTTAGCATTCTCCAGAACTCTTTGTTGTGCAAAGGTAATACTTGTGGTTGACAACACAGAGACACAAACAGACAAGAAGTGATAAAGCAGGCTCGAATGAATATTTTGCCACATTTTATTCAAGAAACTAAGTCAGGCTACTGGGTGAGGTGGTGCTTGAAATTTAACCTCCCGGGCAAAAATGTATTCATCATCATAATAAATTGACCTATCAAAAGTTGATTAAACATGGCTAGTGAGATGAGGGGAGTGGGGAAAACTTTTAGTCAAGGCCAGAGTTACATAACCCCATGACACAGTGGTTAAAATGCAGTCAAGCATAAATTTGTAACTTGAGTTTGAACCCAGCAGATTGAGGTAACTGGCTCAAAGTTGACTCAGCCTTCTATCCTTCTGAGGTCAATAAACTAAGTACCAGGTCTCTGGGGAGTAAAGTGTTGTCTGCATAATGATGTTGTAAACCACCCAGAGTGTTGTAAACCATCCAATAGCACTATGAGGCGGTATATAAATTGAAGCAAGAATAACAATAATAACAACCATCTGTCAACAAATCATATAAGAAGATACATATGATCAGACATCAATCAATGAGTCAGTAGCAAAAAGGTTGAAAAAAAGGGATAGGTAAGCTAAAGAACCAGGTGATCTAAGAAAATATATGTATCAAGGGCCAAAAAGCAAACAAGGGAATAAAAACAAACATGACACAGAGGATGCTAATCTGCAAAGAGGAACACAATCAGCTGAAAAATTTTGGTGCTGTTTAATCTCCATGATAAGATTACTGTAGATAAAAACTTCGGAATGGCCAACAAGATGTCTATGTGCTGCTGTTCTGTTTGCGATAAGTGAAGGATAATAATCTGTCATGCAGGTAAGGCTAAAGAAATGAGCAGTTACACAGAAGGCATGGGAATCCATCAGAAGGCATGGGAATCTGTGCTGTGACCAAAAACAAATCTTGGAAAAGTTACCCTTGCAAACTATAGCACCCAGAATTCCACTCACTATGGAATTCTGTAAGCTAAAGTGCAGGGAGAAAAACCTTTCAAGTAAATTCAAGGAAACCATCCTTGTTGCTATCTGGGAATCTGATAAAGCAACCCTATTTTTCTAAGCTGCAAAAAAAAAGCACAAAATCTTACAGCAGCACGCTTTCCATACAGAACAGCGCTTTCAAAACACGTGCCAGAAATTTGGAGAGGATTAAAAAGATAAAATCAACAGAAGGGGAGGGGAAAGGGTTTCAGCTGGCTTAAAACCAACTATAGAAATAACCAAGATGTTCCCAAGAAAGCAGGTAAAACATCCAAGGGTAATGAATATTTACTGGGGTGATTAGTCTGGATTTCGTTACTGTTTCCCTTCCCTTTAAAAAACATAGATAAGAGCAGTGACACACATTTTAATGCTCAGCACAATGATACGCTCATGGTTTTTACAAACACAAATGCAATCAAATGCAACAGCATCTTATCATCTTTTTGACAAAACAGATGGCAAATACCAAAGGCCAAACTGTAGCTGTTGGACATTCTTCACGGGGCCCAGCAAAATATTTGCCTCACTGTGGGTTCTCCGTCTGCATTTCAAAAGACTCCTCTGTAAATGCAATCATTTTGTAAAGGTGCACCCACACAATATTAGGTTCCAGAGTAGAACTGCTAGCATACAATATTTGCCACTTGTTTTCAAACATTTCTAGGTCATTGATTTACACTGCACAGTTTAGAGACTGAACCTTTCTAATTCAATTAACATCTCAGCCCAGTCAATCAATACCCATGCAGCCTGCTTTACTGTACTTTGCTATCTACAAAGTAGAAGTCACTGCAATGGGCAAGCCAAGCCCAGGAGGCAAATTCTATTGCCTACAAGCCTGGTTTCCATTCCCAAATGCCACTGCCCATAAACACTCACAGCTTCTTTCCATTTGGATATTGCTCAGATTACAACAGTTTCCAAGAGACTCTTCACACTTGACTCTTTTCCCTACACAGAAAGCAGCACAGAAAAACCTGAAAACAAGAACTAATAAAAGCATCCCCTGAGAAGTGGGGCTAAAGTGTTTACTATTCCACAAATATACAGATCAGAAAGAATTTCCATACACAGCATGTGGATCTGAATCTAACAATCCAACAAAACTGACACAGTCAGTCTTCAATTAGACTTGGATTACTACCTATTTCTACTCCATGTCACATTCACATATTTTTTCCACCCACAAGGTTGTTTCACTCCATTTTCACATTAATCCATAAGTTTAAAAACATCATCTGAACTATTTAACTAACATCAGATGTGCTATTTCTTTAAGCACACATATCTGAAATGCACATTTTGATACATTTAAACTAGGAAGAATTGTCCTGCAACATGTGGAAAATCAGGAAAACTAACAGATAGCCAAGTATTAATCCACATATTAACCTGAAATATGTAGATCACGTGTTTTCATACCAGGATTCACAAAGATATATTTCCTGAACTTTCCCAGTTTTAAAAATCCCAGTTTTAAAGCTTCCTCAACTTTCTCTGTGAGTAAAGTTACAATAATCTGAGCTCAATCTAGCCAGAAAGATTCTGTGAGTAAAGATTTTAGAAGAGCTTGGGAAAGTGAAGGTATTCTAATTTCTTCAAGCTCTTGAGTTTTGCCCCTGAAAGGCCCCAAAATATTAAAAAGTGGAGTTTAAGATTTTAACACAGTAATGGAAGATCTCAAAACTAAGTCCAACAACCACTGAGACAGACATGTTTTAGCCACCACAAAGCAAGGGGGGGGGAAGAGAACTCACCACAAGCTCAGAGAACCTTGCATTGAGTTCTTCTGCTGGTGGAATTGGCACAGAGAATTCCAAGAACTGCAGGGGGTTATTGTCCTTGAGGTTGATTTCAGGTAGGTCACTTCCCCCAAAGCAGCAAAGAAACCCCAAAGCATGACGATTCCTTTTTCGGGGAGCCATTGTCATTGTGATATTGCTGTTATCTAATTATCATGATCTGAAAAACAAAGTAGGAGAGAGAATATTTAAAATAAGACCAAGAAACCAAACAATATTTGCTGTGAATGATACAATTTAATAAAATAACATCTTTTAAACTATAGGAACTGAGCAATTTTTTTTAAAAAAAATGATGTAGCACATAAATATTCTATAATAATGGACTATATCAAAGAGCTATTAATCTCTTGTTCAGGAAGCTTTTCCTTATATTTGATGGATCGTGTAAAAAAAAAGTACTGAGCATCATTTTATATTCCCAGAATCTGTTTTGTTTCTTTTAAGTACAATTTTAATCATCTTGATCAAAGAACTACTGTAACAAAACCCCATTTGTTAGAACCAATACATAACTAAAATGTGGTAATATTGGATACTTGTGAAAATAAATTTCTTTAAAAGACCAGAGAAGTCTTCTTGCGACAAGTTTGCACACTTTCATTTCTAACTATATACAGTACTTTACAAGGGGAATATGCATTTGCAGTGCTGATTTCAATTAACCACAATTTAGCATTGAATGTTTACACTAAAAAAACTGTAGTTAATCAGCTGAAACAAACTACTTCATAACTACATTTTCATGTTGGATTTCATCAAATAATCAGTCACAGTTAAGACTAATCACAGCCTGTCATGTTTCTATTGTAACACTTAATCATGGTTAGTCTAAAACAGAAGTGAAAGCTTCTGAACTTCCAGTTGCATACCAGGAGCAAGGACAAGAGGAGTACTCAAGCCCCAAGCTAACTATACAGTGGACCCTCTACCTGTAGTTTGTTCCAATGAAGACAAACTATAAATTTTCATTATATCTGAATGAAATCTATGATTTGTACCGCTGTCTTTGCTTAACAACCTGATCATGTTGGACAGCTAGGAAAACTCTAAAGAGAGTGTGATGAAATGCATTCCAGCACTTCACTTGGACACAGACTTGTATCTCAGTTCAGACATGTATCAACTTTGGATGGGCTCAGTACAAATCACTCATTTAATATTACACTTGTTATATTGCAAATAGCTGGCTAGACAGCTCACTGGTTTAGGCATCTTGTTACAGAGGCAGAAGCTGGGAAATCAGAGAATCATAGAAAAGTGAAGTCGAAAGGGGCCTACAAGGCCATCAAGTCCAATCCCCTGCTCAATGCAGGAATACAATCGAAGCATATCTGCCAGGTGCTTATCCAAGTTTTTCTTGAATACCTCCAGTGTTGGAGCAGTCACCAACTCCCGAGGTAACTGGTTCCACTGTCATACTGCTCTAACAGGAAGTTTTTTCCTGGCATTCAACCAAAATCTGGCTTCCTTCAACTTGAGCCCATTATTGTGTGCCCTGCACTCTGGGATGATCGAGAACAGATATTGCCCCTCCTCTGTATGATAGCCTTTTAAATATTTGAAAAGTGCTATCATATCACCCCTTAGTCTTCTTTTTTCAAGGCTAAACATGCCCAGTTCTTTCAGCCTTTCCTCATGACGCTTGGTTTCCAGCCCCCTGATCATCCTTGTCACCCTCCTCTGAACTTGTTTCAATTTGTTAGTCCCCTTCTTGAAGTGTGGCATCCAGAACTGGACACAATACTCAAGATGAGGCCTAAACAGTGCTGCATAGAGTGGGACTAGCATCTCATGGGATTTGGAAGCTATACTTCTATTAATGCAGCCTAAAACAGCATTTGCCTTTTTTTGTAGCCATATCACATTGTTGGCTCATATTTAGCTTGTGATCCATGACAATTCCAAGATCCTTCTCGCTCATATTGCTGAGTCAGGTATGCCCCATCTTGTAACTGTGCAATTGGTTTCTTTTTCTGAGGTGTAGTACTTTGTATTTATCACTGTTGAATTTCATTCTGTTGTTTTTGGCCCAGTGCTCCATCCTATCAAGGTCATTTTGAATTTTGTTTGTCTTCTGGGGTATTAGCTATTCCGCCCAATTTTGTATCATCTGCAGATCTGACAAGCATTCCCTGCACTCCCTCATCCAACTCATTAATAAAAATATTGAAGAGCACCAGGCCCAGGACAGAGCCTTGGGGTACCCCACTTGTTACTTCTACCCAGTTAGAGAAGGACCCACTAATCGTCACCCTCAGCGTACTATTCTGTAACTAATTGTGTATCCACATGACACTTTTATCTATCCAGCGGGGAGCAAGAGTGGAAATTCACTTCTCCACTGTGCCTCTTGGGTAGAGATGTAAAATTTCTACAAATTCTGAAGCCATATATAACAGCTTTGGGGAAAAAACTGGGGGAGAACCTTCCCCCCAATTTTCTGGGTTTTTTTCCAGGCCTTTTCATCTCTGCTCCAGGTAGAACAGTCAACCTGTGTGACCGTGGGCAAGCTGCACAGTCCCAGGTCACCCTCAGTAAATGATACACCACTGCTATATATTCTCAACCTAGGAAACCCAGGAAAGGATTGCCATAAGTCAGAACTGAATTGATGGGACATGATTGATTGATTGATTGATTGATTGATTGATTGATTGATTGATTGATTGATTTATTATTATAATACTGAAAATAGATAAGCTAACTTTCTTATTGAAAAACATGTGGCTGGGACAAAGAATATAAAGCACAAAATATATTCAGAGTAAGTTGTAAGATGAGATTTCCATTTTTAACCCCTTCACCCTTTTTTGTGGATTTTTTAAAGCATGCTGCTGCATTTCCTATCAAGGAGGTAACCAAGTACTGTAGACTTTTTGCAGGCCTCCATACAAGTGCAGTGATTATCTGCACCCATTTAAGAGAGTAGGGGAACAGATGAGTAGCACTGCTTCCACATCAGCATACCGTATAAGAGTATGATGCAATATGTAAATTTTAGGCATATGAAAAACACCAGCTATATTTCTCACTCTTGTTGATTTAGGCAGGCTCAACATGATGAGACACATCAATTATGAATTTTCAAGTACTCCTGCACATGAGAGGCTAGGAATGTTAGAGGAGTAAGCTCTTTTTTATCATTAGCTCATGAAATTTGCTGAAAACATATTTGTGTAAAATTTGTGTCCTCTCCTTTTCAAAAGCAAAACACACACAGGGAAAGCACAGGGGAGATGGGTGAGAAATGCAGACAACTCATCCAATCTTCCAATTCTTAAAAGCCTATGAAAGAAACTAGCAACTACCATAGTTTTGTTCATGGTTTTTCCACACTAGCATGAAGTCCAGATTATTCATTCTGCATTATTTGCATAAAAATTCTTCTCCGAAGTCCAAAACTTCTTATTGAGTGCATCAGACTATACTCCAGTCTTTTACAAATTAGTAGAGTTTCTTCTTGTCATGCAAAAGAAAAAGATAAGCAAGAATCTACATCTCTAAGGGAATTGCACCAGTAGCTAAACTTTACAAATGCACTGAAGTGACACTCTCTCATAAAAAGCATACCTCTATTATAGAAAAAGTCATTACATCCTCCTCTTTCTCCAGATCAAAGAGTAATTCAATCCAGAGAAGAGGTTCTGTTGACTGATTCACTCCATGAGTGCTGGAGAGTAAGTACAGTGGTGCCTCACTTAACGATTATCTTGTTAAATGATGAAACCGCTTGACGAAGTTTTTGCGATCGCAAAACGATATTTTAATGGTAAAATTTGTTTAACAATGATAGGTCCCCTGCTTCGGGAACTGATTTTTCGTTAAATGACGATTTTGAAACAGCTGATCAGTGGCTCTAAAATGGCCACCCGCTGTGCAAAATGGCTTCCTGCTGTGTTTTCAGGACGGATTCCTTGCTTTACAGGCACTGAAAATGGCCGCCCTATGGAGGATCTTCGCTGGACGCTGAGGTATTTAGCCCATTGAACCGGTTTCAATACATTTCAGTGGGCTTTTTCGTTTCGCTTGACGAGGATTTCGCTTAACAGCGATTTCAACGGAATGAATTATCCTCGTCAAGCGAGGCACCACTGTACCACTGGCAGGCCCAGTGATCTTCCTATTCTCCTGGTGTTTGCATATTGCAGTTTCAATACATTTCAATGGGCTTTTTTGTTTTGCTTGACGAGGATTTCGCTTAACAGTGATTTCAACGGAAAGAATTGTCCTTGTCAAGCAAGGCACCACTGTGCCACTGGCAGGCCCAGTGATCTTCCTATTCTCCTGGTGTTTGCATATTGCTATAGCAGTGTCCCAAGCACCGGTGTTTTCTGCTTGTTGTTGTTGTTTAGTCATGTCCGACTCTTGGTGACCCCATGGACCAGAGCACGCCAGGCCCTCCTGTCTTCCACTACCTCCCGGAGTTTGGTTAAATTCATTTTGGTTGCTTCGATGACACTGTCCAACCATCTCATCCTCTGCCATCCCCTTCTCAAGGTGTTTGCTGCTACCAAATTCCAAACATCAAAGAAGGTGGGGAGGGATATGGGAAAACAGGAAGACCTCCCTTCCTTCAGATCACTACTGCTGAAACAGTCACAACAGCATAAACCAGGTAATGGAGATGGGGTAGATAATGTTCTGGTGGCACAATTAGGGATGAGAAAGGCACAAATTAGATTCAGAATTGAGCAAGAAGTGCTCGTTTTCTCTGGGGGGATTTTTTTTTGGGGGGGGGAATAGTTCACTTCATTTGCTGACCTGGAGTCCAAATTGAACTAGAACTCAGGTATTTTCCTCACACGTCACAAAAAATGAACTGCAGCTCTAGTCAAATAAGCAACATGTAAAACAAACACTCGAAAGACGCAATGCTACATAAATTAATGAAAAGAGCTTTCTTAGTTGCAGCACCTCAGTTGTGGAACACTTCCCTTGAAGAGGCCAGAGTGGTGCTGACACTGGTTTTGTTTCAGTGCCAAGTTAAACATGGTTCTCTGAATGATAATTTTCACAAGCTGGACTGCAGGCCACTTTTTTTTTTCACTGAACTGTTTAAAATTATCTAAACAATTCTAACCATAATAAAATAATACAAATAATAAATTATATTTTTTTCCACAAAATGAATGATGCAAAATAAAAACTTATCACCTC